GATGCTATGATATAAAGGTCACTGGTTGCCTCTAGTCATCACGTGGCTGTTTCACTAATTGTGCACTGACTTCATTTTGTTCTGTGGGATCTTTTGCTTTTTGATCCCATTTCAATCGCCCAGATGTTCATTTCATACAGTTAACTTTATACAAAGGGCATCCTTTGTTCCAGCAAACACATTGCGGTCATTGTACTCAGCTGGGAACCTACTGCACAGCAGTTCACCTGTTTCCTATGTAATCCACCATCAATCTGCCAACCTTTGTGCTGCTTTCATGTAAAATCCTTCATCGGGGACAGGAGGGATAAGGAGGAGAAATTATGCAAAAATGTTTCCTGGTCCCTAGCCTTGGATTGATTAAGCTCATGCTGCAGGATAAAAAGGCAATAAGGAATGGGAAAGCTCTTTCATCTTGACCTTTTGGTGTGTAGTGGAATGGAAAATCACGTTAATACCTTGGAAGTTTTACTCTAGTGTCTCTGAATGTGTTGTTGGAGACCTAAGCATCTTTGAGAAGGAACCCTATTGCCACCTATAAAGGCTTCACATCAAGGCATGGGGGTGCTTGCCAGTCCCCGTGAGGGTAACTGTCATGTAACGAGAGGCACTGCTTCGGAATGCATCCAGGGGCCTGAGGATTGCCCGCTTCAACGGATTTCAGGAGGGATGGATCTCAAGGTTATTCTCACTGGAAGTGTCACATATAGGACAGACCATTTGCTGTTTGTTAAGCCACGTGGACATCACATAGACTAACTGTTTAGTTTAACTTAACCTTTAGAGCAGTCATGAGAGCTTAGTTCATGAGCAGAATAAATTCCGTGGAAGGCTTTGGAAGAAGATTGTACGTGTAAATGCACTGGCTGTTGCTGAAAGATCTGTGGAAGATGAGCAGTGGAAAATTGGACAGGGATTGAGCAGTATATCATGTAAGAAGGGTGTAACTTGGCAATATATATCTGTGAAGGTTTTTAAATGTCTATCTTGGCCAAAAGAGACCTTCCAAATGACAGGAATCTAGCCATCTTGAGCCCAAACGTTCCTAGAAAGGTGACCCTACAAAATTGTCCAGACTACTGGCAGGGATAGCATTACTGGCAACATGCACAGTGTTTTAATGGCCAAGGCATAAGAGGAGCTATGCTCCACAGCCCACGGCAGGCAAGAGGAGGAGGCCTGGAGAGGAGCTGGCATCAATTTAGCATTTCTTTCATTCAGCCAGCTGTAAGAGTGCTGGGCAAGATCTGCACAAGGTTGAATTGTGGTTTAAAGTGCCAACATGATTTGCCGTGGTCCCCTTGTGACTTTCTGGTGCCTGGGCCAGGATACTCAGGACATCCACCATATTCTTCCTGTGCAAACCTTGGGAAGACAAACTGCAGATGCCAGTGTCTGCTCTGTCTGCTCAGCTTGGCAAGGAGAAAAGCAAGGAGGTGTGAGGAGAAAACCAGGGGTCCTGTCTGGTTCTCCCTACCAACAGTGGATGGATAAATAGAAAGGTACAGGTTTTTGTTTTCAGAACCCAATGTCTCCCATGACTAGTCCT